GGTCCAAACCAAAGGCCTGGTCTGCTGGGGGGGGGACGGTCCCCAGCAGACCACAGGCACCCGGACTGAAGCGGCAGCAGCGGCGGGTTCCCGCGCTTCTGAGGCTTTGCTCTGGCAATGCCTCAGAAGCAAGGGAACCCGCCCGGTGCCCCTGGTCTGCTGGAGACGGTCTCCAGCAGACCAGGGGCACCAGAGCAGCTTACGAACGGGACTTTCTCGCCCCGGAGCTCGCAGGTAGCAATCCGCTACCTCGACCTGCGGGGCGAGAAAGCCCCGTTTATAAGTGCGGATCCGACATGTCGGATCCGCGTAAGTCGGGGACTGCCTGTATACCCACAGGTTAATGTATCTTCATCTCAGTGGCTGTATTCATATTTAGTGTGTCTACTATTTCTTTGTTATTTGTGCTACAGTTCCCCCCAAAAGGATAAATGAACATGAAAAATATTGGGAAATGATCACAAAGAGATTAGATTTAGTTTGTAAAAGAAATGAGTATAAGATCAGATGGAAGTATACTATACAAAGTAATGAACAGCAAAGAAAAAAAAGACAGTTGTATGCTGTAATAAGACTTTCCATAATAAAATACAAATGATACTCAATTAAATTGGAGGTAACAATTTTAACACAGAAAGAGGAAACACTTGTGAATGATTAACCTATGGAACTCATGGCTGTGGACTGTGTACACAAAATTAGACATTAAGTTTTAGTAAAAGTTATGAATTGCATCTCAGCTGCTTGAAATTGAGCATGTTGCAACAATCTCCAAGAGCTATTCTAGAGCAGAGTGGCATTCTACCCATGAGATAGGAAAGGGTGCATAAGCAATACCACTAGAACACCATTTATTTTCTGGGATTTCCCTTACAGAAAAAGGAATCCTGAGGAAGTTGTTTTTCCACTGGCCTGCTATGTGGTCTGTTCTTATAAGGATATTCAATGAGCCTCTACACCAGTGGTCCCCAATCTTTTGGGGCTGCCGGGCGCCCGGGGCAGGGCCACCCATACACCACGTACCCGGTGCCGGCGCCACCCATGCGCCGCACTTCCAGGGCTAGCGCCGCTCCTGTGCCGCACACCCAGGGGTGGGGCTGGCCATACGCCATGCGCCCGGAACAGCTCATGCGCTACCTGCCCGGGGCCAGCGCTGCTCGCCCAGGAGCTGGCAGCGCCCGTGAGCCGCACACCTGAGGCAGGTGCCAGTCCTGTGCTGCGTGCCATGGGGCAGGGACGCCCTTATGCCATGCGCCCAGGAGCCGGCAGCGCCCATGCGCCGCGCACCTGGGGACAGCGCCGCTCCTGTGCTGTGTGCTCACGAGTGGGGACGCCCATACGCTGCGCACCCAGGGCTGGCACAACCCCTATGCCGCGCGCCTGGGGTTGGCACAGCCCTTGCGCCGTGCACCCGGGGGCAGGGCTTCCCATAAGCCACGTGCTCGGGGTGGGGCCAGACCCGATCACTCGGCAGGTGCACAGAAGTGGCCCGGCAGGCGCTATGGTGCCCGCGGGCACCACATTGGGGACCACTGCTCTAAACTGATTATACATAGTGTCCATCCCTGTGCTGTCCCTGCTCCAGTTCAAGACACCAAAACCAATCTATCTTCATCACCCGATTTTGCAATGTTTCTCATAATTTAAACTAAGTTTTTGGGGGCAGGGACTTTGTGAGCATCTCTTATAGTGCATTAATATAAATATCATTACACACTGTGGACCTTGGAAAAGCTTCTATAGCTGATAACAATACTTAATATACAGGCATGCACTGCTGTGCAACTTTGAATAAAACCTGTTGCTTGAACAGAATTGAGTGTTTTTTTCCAAATTGTGGCATAGAAGGCCTGCGTACTTGAAAGGCAGATTCACAAAAGATTCAAGGGAAAAATCCATGTTTTAGTAACTATCTTTAGAAATTAGGGATGTTAAAATAGTTAACCCAGTAGACAACACTGCTTAACCAGTTAATCGTTTTAACCTAGGTCCCCCTGCAGCCATGGCCCCAGCCTGGCTGACTGCCAATGGAGTTAACTGGCAAGGACTGGTTAACCAGTAAGCATACCAGTAAGCCTCATGCTTGCTGGTATATTAACCAGTTAACTTCTGTACTATAAATCAGAGAAACTTCACTGCTTTAACACAGAACTCTTAAACAATTGCAGAACTATGTACATGTAACAATCTATGGAAAAAGTGAATATGCGTATTTCCATATATAAATATATGGAAGAGAATATATTCTCGGGATGAATATGGCACACATTAACCATTAAAACACAAAGGACAAAAGAACTGGGTTAAATTAATATGAAATGTACACTGACCTGAGTAAGATCTGGAATGTCACCCTGATCAATTCCAACTTGCTAGGTTCACAAAAAAGGGGAAAAAAATGTACATTACTACATGCAGCGGCAATGGAAATAAAAACTGTGGGGTCTGAATGTTACACAGAAGCAAATATCAAAAGGGACATGAATAACTTTCTGAACTGGTACATTGCTTATGCCAATTTTCAAACAGACAAGTTAAGCTAGAATTTCAGTGTACACGTCAAACAAGCTCAAACCATTTTTCTATTTGGACTACTGCATGCATAAATGTTAAGATAAACTGCAAGAAATAACCACTCATCTTGCTTGAATTTCTTCTCTCTCAAGCAGAAATATGAAAGGAATGCTTTGTAGATATTTAGAATCATCCAGCCCAGTCATTTCCAACTATTAATCAATGCATAAAAGCAGATTCTTAGTAGCACTTAAAGATAAAGTAAAGAAATTTGGCAAAGAAAGGTGCCTTAAAGATAAAGTAAAGATAATTTGGCAAAGAAAGGTGCCTTAAAGATAGCCTACAGTAGTTTTATTTTGCATGGCAAATCACACAAACATTAGATTGTTTGTGATGGGACTGCTGTACCAGTACAGATAGCTAACTGACACCCTTTTGATGTATGTAAGTTTATTTACCTCTGCTACTTTGAGGAATTCTGACAATTTGGTCATTCTGGCTAGAAACTTTTTGTAAATATCCAAACCTTCTTTGCATTGATTCTTCTTCATATCAAAATACTTTTCTGAAGAATGAAAAAAAGAAATTTGTAAAAAAGGTACAAAAATACCCCAAGCCTTCTCCCATAAAAACACAAGATAATTTTCACAGTAACGCAACAGATTTTAAAAGATGCAACACTTCAAATAATAACTTTAGTTAATTTCACTGAGAAGAGACATTGACTAATACAGAAAGCAATGTACTTTGAAGAATTAGGCGTTTGGGACTATACTTCATAATCTTCATATTTACAATGTGCTTGTTGAATTTAGGGTCGCCGGATGGTTTAACCAAAAATACCAAACACCTCCCTTTTCCTCCCCTCCAAAAAAAAAAAAAAAAAGCCACCCCACACACGCACACGGGGAAAAAATTCTGAGGAAGAAAGGGGGGAGGAAGGGGAAAAAGACCAAAGTTGTTTAAAAAAAAAAAAAAAAAAAAAATGGGTAACAAAAAAAAAAAAATTTTTTTTTTTTTTTTAAAAACACCCAGCATGGCCCCTTTGAGCAAGGCCTTTGAGGCTTTTTGCCGGCGGCCATCTTGTTTTCCTGCTCCAAGCCAGAAGACAGCTCCCCTGTGGAACCAGTTAAGCGCGAGAAGGCGGGGGGTATTTTCGCCTCCTGGAAGGGAAAAATAACCAGAAAATACCGGACATTTTAGATGTCTGGTATTTTCTGAATTTTTACACTGGACAGGAGGCAAAAATATCGGACTACCCGGGTCAATACCAGACACCTGGCAACCTTAGTAGGATTTCAGCGAGTAATAACATGGTGGATAGTAGCAGTTGTCAACCTGAATGTAAAGTGTTTAATCTATTTTAAAATTCTTTGTCAGCCAAGAAAGACTTCATTTTGAAGAAAAATATTTGCAAAATGTCAGTCCATGAGATGGACTCAATCACTAGTAACGCAGAAGCTGATTTTAGTACACTAAAAATGCACCATGATTATCTATTTTAAAGCATTTTTGAACTACACATTAACATCTCAATACTACACATTTGTGGCTTGTTTAATGGAGACAATTTGAAAGAGGCATTTCAAATGAAAACAACTTTCACATGTATCCAAGTATTACCTGTCAATATTAATGTACAGTATCCTTATTAGTAAATCTAACAGCATTTGCATCCTTTTGAGATATTTAGTTTTATTTTTCATAAAATCTACAAGTGTGAGTTTAATATATCAGTAAAATGGATGACACCAGCAGATTTAATGGAGGAGAGTGAAAACTGAATCCCAAAGTTAATAAATACTTCTACTGCTATGCTATCTTTTCTTTGCGAGATTTTTCCAATTTCACCACTATTTTCCCTTAAAAACAATAGGCACAATCCACTTAAAAACTTTATCTGACCAATGTTATTCATAGCCAAGAACTCAGCAAGGTAGAACTCTAAGCTGTGCAAGACTATGCCAATTGTTAAAGTTAAAACAAAGAAATTCAGCAATGTGCACTGGGTGTGCTGTGTATTCAAGCAAATAAAATTACCTTAAAAAAAAAAAAAAACTCTATACCCAGTACAAGCCAATCTACTTTAGAGCGGAAACCCCTCCATGTCCACCCCACCCCCCCCACTAAAGTGTACTTATATACTGAGTTACTTTATAACCTGGTTACAAAGAACATTCAATACACATTTGGGGTACTTCTAAAATAGAAATTCAGGCAAGACCACCACAGATTTACACTTCAGCCTGAAAAATAAGGCGTAAGGCCAATCCTGCTGTCCCTGACACTAACGATAAAAGTTACGATTGACTTCAATGGAAGCAAGATCTGACTCTTAAATTGTTAGGCTATAAAACAGATTCAATTTGTTTTACAATTTCTTCTTCCTTGCCTCCCCCCAAAATTCTAGTCCATATGCACACACATTTCCACATACCTAATAGGTTAATAATCCCCTCATTATAGGCTGCAAAAAGCCTAATGGAATCTTTGAAGAGAAGCATGAAGGCAGCATTTATTACGCCATTGGTTAATTCATTTGGATTTGCCTGTGTAGAAAGTGGAAAAAATAAGAGTAGATTAGAAGTATTGGTGGGAAGAAAAAATACCAGTAAGTTTCTTCCTGCATCAAATAAAATATTTTAACAACGAAATACCAGTTAGACTGTGCTTACATCAAAATCAAGGAGCACATCAAGCTGGTTCTGAATAATCGGAAGGGTTTTCAGAAGCTTTTCAGTATTCATAGTTCTCATCACTCCATCTATCCTACAATGTGTAAAATGGCAAATAAGGTAAAAAGGTACACATGACCTAGAACACTGATGCCTTGATTTGTTTAGTGCCCTGTATTTAACTATAGTTTAAAAGGCACCAAAGTTCTACTGCAAGAATATATATGAATTGTTAGTAACCTTTTGTATCTGAAATAAACAAAAAAGAGAATATTTCTTACCCTCTTTTCATTTTGGTGAAATCAACTGCTACAAGTCTGTAAGAAAGTGCTTTTTCATTCAAGTATTTGCTGTATCGCCTAATGAAGGTAGACATATCATAGCCTGAAGATTAAATGTTTACTAGTTAGACATTTTGAAGAGGAAAAGTATCTATTCCTTACATAATAACTTCAGCAAGATTCTATAAAGTGTGTCATTGCACACAACTTGCTTGAGGAGACAACTCCGTATTCACATTAGAGAGCCTTTACAGCCTCCCTCCATATTGTCCTTATGATTATTTACAGTAGCCTTGAGGTGCACTGTGCAGTCATCGTGTTCCCAGAGGATGACAATTCCATGGAAGGTATCTGGATTATGTTAATGCCTCACCTAATAATGGAAGGAGAGGCCACTGTTGGCAACTGTGAGCACTCTAAGGATAACAGTATACAGCTCACTGGAACCAAAATTAGACAAATGCTTAAGACTAAAAATGGGAATTACTGAACTTCAGCTACTGTAAAAAGTAAGCTGTCAAAAATAAATATATATACACAAACTACCCCTAACGCTCTTCAGAGATCTATATAAAAGGCTTTCATTAACCACACAGTAATGTATTCTAATTATCATTGTATGAAGCTTGACAACTGATGTAACCTCCCTCCCCCCATTATGGAATGCAGCCAAATGAAAAAAAGATTAATTTGGTGTTCATGTGTTAAGTTATAAATGCCTTTCAAAAAAGATGCAGGTAACGAACTATAAAAACATTTCTAGCTCTCACTGTGTAATTTCAAGCTGGGGCGGGGAACTTTTTTTGGGTCAGAGGCCATACATAAGACGAAAAAAAACAGAACTCCCCCCTACCCCCCATACACAACCCCACAAATGTGGCCGCCAACTAAGAAGCAGAAAAGACATTCCCCTCAAGTTCCAGCTTCACCGGGATTAAATTAACTCTTTTGGAGGCCTGAGGCTAGTAGATTTTGTAGGCCCCTCTAGGCTCTGGAATGTGGCCAAAACAGTTTGTGGGAGGGGCAGTTAGGGAGCAGGCTAGTGGTAGAGGTGTGAGATCTGGGTGTGAGGGAGGGAGCAGGAGAGGGCTGGAGGTGGGGCTGCAGGTGGGGGGGGGGAAAGACAGGTGAAGGAGGGAACAGGGGATTGGGCACCTATCTGGCACAGCTTGGGTTCGGGGAGACAGGTGTCTTTGCATGGCTCGTTATGGTGCAAGGATGCACTCCTAGCAGGCACGCCTCTGCCATTCCCACTGGTCATGATTCTTGGCCAATGAGAGCAATAGGAGGTGGTGCCTGCATGGTGTACTTCCCTACAGCGCACAGGAGCTGCTTCCTCCCTGCTGCCAGCTAGAGCCAGAGCCAGAGGGCCCAAATTTGGCTTGTGGCTTGCCTTGATCAGTCCCTTAAGGCTTGGGGCTCCTCCCGCATCAGGGGAGCCAGTGTGAATGCTCCAGCCACAGTGTCACTCTTGTGGTTGGAATGCCAGCACTGGCTCATCATCAACTGCAGGCGGGGGGGGGCCTCACAGACTTAAGGCAATCCACTGGCCGTAGGTTCCCCATCCCTGCTTTAAGCCATCCCTGCTTCCTTTTGCTTATTGTGATCCCTTTGCATTGTGTAATATGAATTAAGCTCTAGCCTGGAAACATTTTCTGTTGAACACACCAGTGACTTAGGGTCAATCACTACTAATACAGAGCTAGAAAAATACATGTATTTAAGACTTTTTTTTTAAATCAGCTGTTATGTACAGATTTTTGGAGGTGTGTTTTTTTGTTGTTGTTGCTCTGCCAACCTTCTCTTCAAAACATAATACTTTACTGTTTGCAATTTAATTTTCACACACACACACACACACACACACACACACACACACACACACAGAAGATTCTTACCCTGCATGGCACTTTTGTCCAGGTAGTTGTTTAGATTGAACAACGTATTTCGGGATGCAAGATACTGGATAAAACGCTGTTGAAGGGGGAAAAATGTCAACATCTTGAAAATTACTTTTCTTTCATCAAATGTAATAAGTTTAAGAAATAGATTACAAAACTATTGCACAGAACTTGTGGATTTCAGAGGCAATGTTTACCCTTATCTACAATATACACATTAGCTGCAACAAAAACAATTCACTTACATAAGTTTACTAAATGTTAAACAAACACATGAAGTTTCAGGACTGAGCATTTGGCAGAGGAAATTTGTTCTGTTTGAAGAAATGCAATTCCACTGTTCACACGTGAAGCCACATTAGCATTAGAGGGAGTAGCTTACATGACTTAAATAAAAATTTTGTGAATTCTGCATCTCAGAGTAGGAAAATTGGAGAAAAACAATAGGAGCTCTAAAAGTTCTCTCTGTATGACTCTACATCTTGGATGTGAGAATTAGAGACACAAATATAGACTATCGAGGAATGTTTTTCAACTTACCTTTCTCCCTCTCTGAGGTAATGAATATTTTAGTATTTATACAAACTAACACACTTTCAAAAGACAGAGGTAAGGGTACGCAATAGGGATGTCAGAGACCCAGGGTATCCTAGCATGTCTCTCATTTTTCAACTCATTTTTGTAACCTATCCTTTAAATCGGCTTCTGTACCTAATGACTGGAAGGTAGCCAACATGACACCAATATTTAAAAAGGGCTCTAGAGGCGATCCTGGCAATTACAGACCGGTAAGTCTAACTTCAGTACCGGGCAAATTAGTCGAAACAATAGTAAAGAATAAAATTGTGAAGCATGTAAAAGAACATAATTTGTTGGACAAAAGTCAACATGATTTCTGTAAAGGGAAATCCTGCCGTACTAATCTGTTAGAGTTCTTTGAAGGGGTTAACAAACATGCGGACAAGGGGGATCCAGTAGATATAGTATACTTGGATTTTCAGAAAGCCTTTGACAAGGTCCCTCACCAAAGGCTCTTGTGTAAATTACATGGCCATGGGATAAGAGGAAAGGTCCTTTCCTGGATTGAGAACTGGTTAAAAGACAGGAAACAAAGGGTAGGAATAAATGGTAAATTTTCAGATTGGAGAGGGGTAACTAGTGGTGTACCCCAAGGGTCAGTCCTGGGACCAATCCTTTTCAACTTATTCATAAATGATCTGGAGAAAGGGGTAAGCAGTGAGGTAGTAAAGTTTGCAGATGATACAAAACTGTTCAGGATAGTCAATACAGAAGCAAACTGTGAGGGACTCCAAGAAGATCTCACCAAATTGAGTGATTGGGCAACAAAATGGCAAATGAAATTGAATGTGGATAAGTGTAAAGTAATGCACATCGGGAAAAAACCCCAACTACACGTACAGTATGATGGGGGCAAATTTGGCTACGACAAATAAGGAAAGAGATCTTGGAGTTATCGTGGACAGTTCTCTGAAAACTTCCACACAGTGTGCAGCGGCGGTCAAAAAGGCAAATAGGATGCTAGGAATTATTAGGAAAGGGATAGAAAATAAGACCCAGAATATCTTACTGCCCCTGTATAAAACTATGGTACGCCCACATCTTGAATACTGTGTACAGATGTGGTCTCCTCACCTCAAAAAAGATATTTTGGCCTTGGAAAGGGTTCAGAAAAGGGCAACTAAAATGATTAGGGGTTTGGAACGGGTCCCATATGAGGAGAGGCTAAAGAGACTGGGACTTTTCAGTTTAGAAAAGAGGAGACTGAGGGGGGATATGATAGAGGTCTATAAAATCATGAGTGGTGTGGAGAGGGCTGATAAAGAAAAGTTATTTATTAGTTCCCATAATAGAAGAACTAGAGGACACCAAATGAAATTAATGGGTAGCAGGTTTAAAACTAATAAAAGAAAGTTCTTCTTCACACAGCGTGTAGTCAACCTGTGGAACTCCTTGCCAGAGGAGGCGGTGAAGGCTAGGACTATAATAGAGTTTAAAGAGAAGCTAGATAATTTCATGGAGGTTAGGTCCATAAAAGGCTATTAGCCAGGGGATAAAATGGTGTCCTTGGCCTCTGTTTGTCAGAGGCTGGAGAGGGATGGCAGGAGACAAATCGCTTGATCATTGTCTTCGGTCCACCCTCTCTGGGGCACCTGGTGCTGGCCACTGTCAGCAGACAGGATACTGGGCTAGATGGACCTTTGGTCTGACCCAGTACGGCCGTTCTTATGTTCTTATAACACACACTTTGAAATGTCTTGGTTTAATCTCAAGGCAGAACAAGGAAATTTCAAGCATGATCACAGGAAAGGAAAACTATTTTTCATCCAGCTTCAGTGACCAATGTTTGACAGAGTGAACACACTTTTCTTTTTTATAAATACAAAGTATTTTTCCTAAGACCAGGAATTCAGCAAAGAGGAAAAAGATTTTAACACAATTCAACAGTCTATATGGATGTGTGTCTTACTAAAAAGAGAAAGGTCTACTGCTTCAGACTCTCCTACAGGGTATGTGGCTGTATCAGGCTGTTTTGTGAATAGCTCCCATATGACAGAGAAAGTTTTCAATTGCTTTACACTCCTTTGGACCTGTTCCTTCTCAGCCTTGCCTGAGCAGCTGTATAACTTTGGCAGGAGCTTAGAAGTAGCACCTTCACATCTAATGAATCAACAGTAGTGTTTTATCTGGAGCCACTGTTTGTCCTTACTTATTTCAAAACAGGCTGCTTTAATTAAATCAACATATGTATAAAATAAATTAACTCATTAGTCAATATTCCATGACCTGAAGAGCTCTGACTCAAGTAAAAAGCTTGTCTCTTCCAACAACAGAAGTTAGTCCAACAGATATTGCTGTATCCACCTTGTCTCTCTAAAGAGAGTCACACACTGCCTCTTTCAATACCCTCGTCACATATCTTGCATATCTTTTACATTTAAAGCAAAGGTAAAACTTTGTTTTAGAAATACTTTGCTTCAGTCACAATTCTGTGCTCACATTTGCCATGAGCTAGAGATGTGAAAGGTTAACCTCACCTTTATTGTGGTTGTTTACCAGTTACAGTTAATCAGTGCGGGCTGGAGCAGCCCTCACCCACAGCAGGGGGCTCCAGTCTGGCTGCCCCTGTTTAACAGGTTAACTAAACAAATGGGATTTTACATCCCTACCATGTGCATAATTGGATACTGGAGATAATCTCTATATCTGACATAAAAGGTTGCCAGGTTTAAGCTTGAGAAATTGTGTACAAATTAAAGATAAAACTTCTGTCATATTGTGGTCTGGAAAAGAAAGACTGTCATCATTACTATACCACAAATATTTTAAATTATGTTTGCTAATCTTTCATTTTTAAACTGAATTAAACATAGGTAGTAAGTGAATAGTAGTAGTAGTTCAGGAAGGAAAGTAACTGGAAAAGAGGCATGACATGGATCTAGATATCTATTGGGTGTAGTTAACTGATTTTCTAACTGACTTCACTCATTTTCTCGCAGAAAAGGTAACTAATAGCCAATGATAAACTTCATTACTTTTTTCCAAAATAGTATTTTTTTAAGTTTACAGATCAAACCTTCCTTTATGGCATTCTGATTTTTTTCAGAAATACCCCCACACTATAGCTAGTAATCAGTCTTACCTCATTTCCATACATCATGAGGTGGTGTGTTGTAATTAGAGCTTTAAACACTACGACCCAACTGCTGTTCGCAGTCCTCTCAAAAAGTGTGTCTGCCAGCTGTGGAATATTCACATTCATCTCATTTGTGCACTGGATTAGATCTAAATTTAAAAAATGCAACACATTAGGTTTAGACAGACATTCAAAGATACAACAGAAATAAGTTTCACAGGATGAACATGTAACATGAATTGCTTTATACAGGACTCCATATCATTTGAAAGCTTTAACCAGAAGCAATTATATTTCCTTCTGGAATTGCAAACCATGCAACAGCCCACCATCTCTATTTCCTTAATAGCAGTTTTACAGAAAATAAACTAAGCTAAACTCTGGAACTGATTTTTTTTTTAAATATAAGTTTCTCTACTAAAATGTCAATTTACTAGCTTAGACATACTCTAAAAGCTTTGATTAGGAAAACTAGGGAAAAAAGCCTTGCATGGATTACAATTCAAAAACTGTATTAAGCTAGAGTTAAGATGAGAGGGCATGTAAATAAATTGGGGGTAAAAATATATTATAGGGATACTGCAACTATTCTCAAAGCAAGCATTACAAATTCACGGTTAAGGTTAAATTAACTTTTTAAAAAATGGGAATATAAACTTAGGGTCACTCACAACCTTAATATCACCCTTTAAGGAACACCCTGCACCAACCACATGACTAAAGCTACTAGTGAGCCCAGATCAAAGATTACCATCCCCTCCCCTCATGGTGAGGCTATAAGACATGTCTATTACAGGTTGGACTTCCCTGGTCCAGAACCCTGGGGACCTGAGTGGTCCCAGATGAGGGATTTTCCTGGACCAAGGAAGGTCATTTCTGGTCCCCCTGCTGCAACCCCGACTGGGCTTCTCAGCTTCCCTGGGCAGCCCAGCTTCTGTGCGCACGCACGCACGCACGCACACTCCCCTCTCCCCTGGTCCAGCTGAACTGTGCACCAAGCTTTCCAGCACTGCCCCACACCATGCCTGCAACAATCCTGCAGAGCTGCACACCAGGCTTCCCGGCACCATTCCCCCCGCAGTAATCCAGCTGAGCTGCACGCCAGGCTTCCCGGTACCCATCCTACCTTCAAGCCCAGCTGAGCCACATGCCAGATTCCTTTCCCTCCCGGCATTGGGCCAGGACTCTGATCCTGGAACATGAGTGGTCCTGGTAGACCACAGATGTTGCCTGACCATACAGAGTCCTGGTTTAGAGGTGCAACCTGTACATTCAAACTTTAATCCTAGGCTTTTCTACCTCTGAGTTAAGACTTCAAAAACAGGCATCTATCAATATGTAACAAGAGATGATTGGACCATTACTTAAAGCTTCATGCATCACTGCCACTTGTATACTAAATGTCAACACTGGTATAAATTCATTTGTACAACCTGCCATCACAATAGTATTTATTTCATTACATTCCCAATAAAAGTCACTTGAATGTCTTAATTTATGTTCTTTGAATTCAGATAACAGCTTATTCATTGGTACACAACATCAGTCTACTAGCAAGTGGCAATAATAAAGAAATAGAAATCGATGGCAGGTAGGAGCTTTTAAAATTGATGTCTATTATCTTTTATTCCAGAAATGAAGCTCAATTCCAATTTAAGATACTCAAGATAAAAAACCAAAAACCCCACCACATTTATAATTCTCTCTAGCAAGACTAATAAGCACCTGCAGGATAAGTAAAAGTTATCAAATTGTAATAAAGCAAATAAGGATGTTAGGGTATGTCTACACTAGCCCCCTAGTTCGAACTAGGGTGGCTAATGTAGGCATTCGAACTTGCAAATGAAGCCCGGGATTTAAATATCGCGGGCTTCATCTGCATGTTCCCCGGGCGGGTGCCATTTTTAAATCCCCTTAGTTCGAACTGACTGCCCATGGCTACATGCAGCAGTCAGAAGTTAATCCGAACTAACTCCTTAGTTCAGATTAACTGTTACACTTCATTGCGGCTCTCTGATTCAGTAGAATCACTGGTCCTGCTGGACTGTGGATGTTACTAGACCAGAGAGGTTCAATCTGTAATACACTTAAGATACACACACAAAAAAAGAAATGCTCAACTACACAATGGGAACTAACTAGCTAAATAGCAGTACTCTAGAAGAGGATCTTATGGGCTCACAGTTGATGATCAATGGAATGAGTCAATGTGATGCTGTGGCAAAAAAGACTAATGCTCTGGATGTTTTAAATTAGAAGGGGGACTCTCTTTTGAGTTGGGGGATACTGACCCACAGAAAAAAAAAAATCAGTCAAGCGCCTCACACAAGTGAGAAGGAGAAAACCCCCCACGTTGTGGCCCCGACTGAGAAAGAAAAAAACTTCCCACATTCCCCTTGCACACCATCTTCCTTCCCCAGGAAGCACTTTGTTCCTCCATCCATTTAGGGCATGTGATCCCAGCCCTTCTCATGGTATGCAGTTTCCATGTGGATAACCTCTTGAACATAAGTGCTATGAAGGTTAATCCTGCTCCTTAGAAAAGGCCAGCTCAGGGGGTCATTATTGTCAGGGTGGAGGGGGGAAGAGACAGACAGCCTAGTAGATTTTGAGCCCTCCAGCCCCCAGGGGAGCAGCATGGAGGCTGGAGCACCAGCATGAGCTCTCCAATGCCAGGGGTGGGCCTAAGCTTCGGTGGCTAGATCCAGGCATGCCAAGGATTCAATCTGGCCCCTAGGCCTGAGGTTTCCCCACCCCTGTTTTAAAGGGTGTTTCATATAAGATGCAGGAGGCAATGGTCCTACTCTATTCAGCACTGGTGAGACCTCAGCTGGAGTACTGTGTCCAATTCTGGGTGCCACACTTTAGGAAAGATGTGGACTAACTGGACAGAGCCCAGAGAAGAGCAAAATTGATACAAGGTATAGAAAAACATGACTTAGGAAACATTAAAAAACTGGACAAGTCTTGAAGTATTTTAAAAGGCTATTAAAAAAAAAAGAAGTGAGTGATCAGTTCTCCACACCCAATACAGACATCATAAGTAGGAACTGGTTTAATCTGCAGCAGGAGAGATTTAGGTTAGAAAGTTTTTCCTAATAGCTAACAAAGGATAATTAAGTGCTGGAGGAGGTTGCCAAGGGAGATTATGGAATCCCTAAACTGTTATTAAAAACCTACATGTGTCAATAGCGGTCTCGGTATATTTGGTCCTCAGCACTAGATGAACTCTCCAAGTCCCTTCCAAATCTACATTTCTTTAGTGAGTAGACAACCACACTTTTGAACAAGTTAGCCATCCAACAAACTAGGGATGTAAAATCCCAAGTAATCAGTTAATTGGTTAAACATTAGGTTAACTAGTTAAATATTAAGTTAATTGACTCAGTGGGATCCCAGGAAGGGGACCACTCTCCCCTGGCTGAAGCAGTCCCCAACCCCGGGGGGGGGGGGGGCCCGGGCCCCCAGC